TAAGAACCAAGAATTTGTAAAAAATAAGCTGCTACACCATCTTGTTTGTCAAGATGGGGCATTCCAATTTATAAAGCCGCAAATATTTTCACACTACTAGGAGGTGAGCTCAGTACCTTAAGGGAACTAAGAATTTTGGTGGGGAAAATCTGCCTCATGGTGAAGAAGAAACAGGGGTCCGTCATAGGGGATCACTGTTCTCAGGAAGCAGCATGAAGGAAAGGGCTGTGGCCCCAATCCCCCCCACCCTAGAATGCTTTTAAAGAAAAATATTTGAAATCACAGACCTACAGTCTCATCTAGTTGTAATCTCAGTAATCAAAGTCCCACATGTGTTTTTCATGACATCTGAAATTGTGACATTTCCCAGTACAATGTCTGAATCTGTCTGAATTTTCAGCAAGAAGAGACTTGTGTCATTTTTGAATATTAGTTTTGGTAGCACTGAAATATTTTTACCCATGTTCAGGGAAGGGTGATTTGGATGTCTAAACAGGTTTTGCATGGTCAAGAAAGCATCTGGTGGTGTTCATGTCTTCTGAACTGAGACCCTGGATTTGTACATATAGCATTCTTCTGAATCTAATGAACCATGAGCATCTGCTTAGCATGCAGACAGTCGCAGGTTCAGTCCCCGGTATCTCCAGTTAAAAGATCTAGCAGTAGGTGATGTGAAAGACCTCTGCGTAAGACCTTGGAGAGCTGCTGCCAGTCTGAGACAATACTGACTTTGATGGACCAAGGGGCAGTTTCATGTGTTTATGTTAGCATCATGGTGGAAGGCTGTGCATCTAACAATGATGGTGTGGGGAGGGGGCTGAAGTAGCTGCCACTGTTGAGAAATAGCAGAGGTAGATAGAACCTTGCAGTTAGCATTGCTTGGAAGTCAATGGTTGCAGAGGACAGATGGGATGACATTTTACAGGAGTAGAGCCAATGAATGTCTTCATCTACACTCTCATTGAGAAAAGTGCTGTTACATGAAGTACCATAATATCAATTTATATAATTCTATGGGGGGAAATACAAGTATGTATTCAAGAAGTGAAGTATTATGAAAGGATTATGATTCTTTGTCTGGCCAGACCTCTCAGCATGGGTGCTTTTGTTTTTTTGGTTACTTCATCCCTGCATATTTGGGGAGTTTAGTAGAATGAATTTGTCTACTGCTGTCTTGTGTTTATAGGCAGCCATCTACTGCATTGATCATTTTTCACTCATGCAACCTCTGGATGGAAAATAGTGGTAAAGAATAAGAGGCAAACCCCCCCCCCCCTCATATTGTTAGTGCAGTAATTGTGGAGGTGGCATTAGATGAGTCTCTTGCAAGTAGTTACTGGTCTGGTGAATGAGAATTTCCAGGGACAACATTTAGTTGGCAGTGAGCAACACTTGTTTGCTACTAGTTGTGTATAAGGATGGTAAGAAGAAAGCTGTCTTGAGAAAGCACAGTGAACCTCTGGATTATATAGTCTTTTCTTCATGGTTACCACCTCCAGAAGTAAAAGTGTAGTTGTTACAGGAGTTCACATGATCTACTTCCCAGAAAGGATAACTGAAGTTGTATTCTTGACTCAGTGCCAGCCCAGAAAGAACTGAACCAGGAAAATGAAATATTTGTCAGAAGGTAGAGCTTTATACAAATGTGAGAGCAGTCATGATTGACAAACAAAAATAAAAAATAAAAAGGAGTACAGCAGTTAGGACTGTACATTCTGCTTGTTCAAATAACTTAGTATTTGCATTTCACTAGGTATTTTTCCCTCAGGGGACCATTTATTGGGCAGAAATGATATAAGAGATGATATTGTCAGGGTGTTTTTACCATCCAGGAACTGAGGACCGTGAGAAGATCAGCCTGTCTTGTTTTCTGAACAACAAACAGGCTACTGAGACATTCAGTATAGTATCATGAAAAAAGGCAAACAAGACAGATTGTAACAAGCAGCTTAAGCTTGCAATAAAATAATTTTATACCTTTTGTATTAAATGAGTTCTCAAGAAGGGAGATGCAAAGAAAGGTGTGTTGTAAAGAAGAGGGTTTTGTGTTACATTTGCCTATAAGTTATAAGTATGTACAGTATAGGGTTACCATTCCCCAGGTGGGGGTGAGGGAACCACCACTTTTGCAGGTTCCTGCCCACCAGCAACCAGCTGGCTGTCGGGAGGAAATTCCCCCATCCCCCCAAACAGTGACATCATGCGTGACGTGCTGACATCACCCAAAAGTGACATAGGCACATAGTGATGTAGGGGGTGGTGACACCCTGGTTTTGGGGTAAAACTCTATGGTTTGAGGGCAGTTTTACCATAGAGTTTTGCCCAAAAGCCAACGCATTGCCTCTGACGCCACTGACGGTATGTCACTTCCAGGTGACATATGCACATCACGCGATGTGCCCGCCAACTCCCAGAATGTCCCCCAATCCCCCCTGGAGCAGTGATCGGACCTGGCAATTCTAGTACAGTAATAACAAATTTTTGCACATTTTTAATTTGGGGGGAGTTATCTTACATGCAGGGTCATCTTCCTTTTGGGTAAATATGATAGTTTAAGCTGGCCAGTAGTTGGATGGGAGACCTCCAAGGAATACCAGGGTCGTGATGTGGAGGCAGGCAATGGCAAAACCACCTTTGAACGTCTCTTGCCTTGAAAACCCACAGGTTGCCATAAGTCAGCTGACACTGCCTTTTTCTTCTCTCTGTCCCTTTCTTCTCTTCCTTCTCTTATTCTTAGTTACTGGAGTTCCTCAGCAATCCCTACAATGGCAGCTGAAATCTCATGCTGTAGAATCATAAGATTTTTTTTTCTTTAAATTTTGACTTTTAAAAGATCCACAATTTTGTTTTAACTCTGGGGTTTCCCGAAATTGTAGAAAACCTCCTTCTCTGTGTGCATGGGCCCATAGTGCTGGTTTTTTGATCCTCACTTTGGACCCATGTTTTGAATTAGATATAATGACTGGATATGGATGTGGATTTGTAGTTTTATTATGTTTTACTTTAGAGTTGGAGTGTTATGTTTCATTGTGTTTGTTTTTAAATGGATCTAAAGCCAGACCAGAACATTGTAGATTGGATCAGACTAAACCAAATACCATTTATAAATAACAACTTCAAATTTAAAGCACAGACATCACAATGTGTCTTGTGCTCTAGAAAAAAGTAGGATAAAATGGACAAAAAAGTAGAATGTTTCGTAACATCTTTTTCCTTCTGCCTTTTATTACTTGTGACAGAAATGCTTAAACCAAGCTATGGTATCCATCAACAGGCAGGACTTCCTTTATGAGTCAAGAAAGGTCAATTGCAGTTTCAAGAAGGTGCTGATGTGAAGGGAAGAAAGGCTAAAACAGGAGGTCACTTTGAAATTTCATTCTTAAGAACCTCCAAAAGCAAGGAAAAACTCTAGGAAGCTTTAGTTTTCAAAATTAAAATGTAAATTAAGAGGGCCACAGATTTTCAGTAATTTAACAACAGGTCTGTGCAATTTAATTTGCCGTTCATGGTAGCACAGTTGTTTTGTTTTTAAATACGTTTATGAAATGTAGCCACCTTAAATTCCATTGATAGCTTGAAACCCTGTCAGGCCAATGTCACATGAAAGCAAAAGTTGATTAAAAATATATTAATAGGGTTTACAGTGGAAATACTTGGGGAAAAACTCTTTCAGTAGCAGGCTTTGATACAATGCAGTGCGCAGCTCTGAATGAACTAAACTTTTGATTCAGCTGACGGAGGGCCTCGTGTTGCAGCATAACATTGAGTTCAAATGAATTTTCCAGGAGATTTCTCTAGTGGTCATTGGGGGAAAGGGCTTGATCATAATCTTCAGATTTTAAATGCTTTCATAAAGGAGGGGGAAACTAATTATTTGCTACCCATTGTAGACAGTACGGTTGTGTTTTAGGGCCAGGAGACAAAATCAACAGGCCTAAATAGCTGGAAAATTTAGAATGGTTCTTAAGAAAAATGTCCATAGTTTGAGAGCATTTGGCAAATGTTATTTGGGGATTTTTATGAATACAAAATCATCTCCTTAGAAGGCCTTTAAAAAACAAAATTATTTTTCTGGGAGATATGTTTTAGGTATAGAAGGTCCTGCCTAAGTCTAGGGATAATCATGCATTTCCCCCCTTTTTACTGTGTATCTCTATAATTGTGCATTTCTGTGATGGAATAACCACCAGTTGCATCAAGGGAAATCTATTCATGGGCTGTTGTGCCCAAGAATAATTTCTCCTGTTCATTGGGCAGATGATAGCTACTGGCTGAGCTTGTTTATCTGCAGGATTCAGCTTTTAGTGCACAATCAGTTTAAAAATCACTTTTTCAAGCACTTGCTGATGTGTGGAGAGAGGTGAGACCTGTGGGTCCACACAAACACCTGTCCTTAAGCTGGGACCAAGCAAAGGCAGGAAATTTAGCTATTTTTTACTGTAGCTGTATCTCGCTCAGCGAATCAGCTCACTCTTCTGGATGGTGGCTGTGGTCCAGAAGCCTGCACACACAGAGACATCCTCTGCTGTTTTGTGAGAAAGGGAGCTTTTGCACATGTAGAAAATGTCAGTTCCCAAATATACAGGAAAGTGAGGAGGTGCGAGGTTGGGCCTGGGGCAGGGGGGGAGGGGGGGGGGGGGGGGGAACCGTGTAATGAGACTTTAACAGAAGTTAATAGAGGAAGTGACAAGGGTAGCTCTAGGAATTCTTTGTCACCCTTGTTACTTCCTGAATCAACTTCCTGTAAATGCACAAAGCTGCTTCCCCCCCCCCTCCCGGGACCTGGTGGTAGGTGGATTCCCCATTCCCCACTGGAGGCTTGCCAGCCCTGATCTCATATCTCAATTGTAAAGAGACGATTGGAAATATTCAGACATAATTGATGCTTATATTTGATTACACTGGCATGTAAATATCTGAGTGAACTCTGGTGGGTAACAAACTGGGTGGCTTCTGGTATTCAGTTATGAAAATTATTTTTTTTCCTTTTTCTTTTCTAGTGCATCCATCGAGATTTAGCAGCAAGGAATGTTTTGGTTACTGAAAATAATGTCATGAAAATAGCTGACTTTGGGTTGGCCAGAGATATCAACAATATAGATTATTATAAAAAGACTACTAATGTAAGTGGATGGCAGCCTTATCGCTGAAGCTCATATCTTTTTTCAGTGGTGCATTTAAGTATGGCAAATGTATTCCTAATGGACTTCTTGTACAGCAGCCTAACTTTTAATCAAAGAAATGAAAATAATAGGCAAGTGTGTAGGGATTCCTAACCCCTTTTTACTTGGAAAAGAAGGTTATCTGCTTACACAGCTTGGGAGAGTACATGTTACATGATTCTTTCTAAAGGATAAGGTTTTGCCTTTGCTTTTTATAGTCTCCATGAAACATGTAGCACATTCTTTTACAGTTAGCTAGATACTGAATATAAATATAAATTTGTCTCTTTATAATCAATGGATGATTTTGTGGAATGCATCCATTTTGTAATTGCTAACATTTGGTTTTGGTTTAATTTGTAGAGGACTTGCATTACCCTAAGCTTAGTTTGGAGTCGGTAGAAAACTTTATGACATACTTGGCAACCCGCTGGTTAAAGTGCAAGTGCTCCATATTTATACACTGTGCCTTTACTATGGACAGCTGTTTATACGGGTCAAAAAATGAATATCTGTTTGGCAGAGCGAGCAGATATTAATGCTACATTCATGCACTGTGTCACAGCCTGACACAGTGAGCATAGAGAAAGGGCTTGTTACATGAGGCTTCTGTGGTGCATCATTTTATAATTCCCTGTTCAGTCATTTAGAAGTGTTGCATTTCTGAGCATGCTGCCTCTTGCTGAGTTAGAAACCCCTATAGGCATGCAGGGCTGACATTGCATTGTTAAATGGCTGAGGGAATGCTATGCAAAGTCATCCTTTCCTTCCATGTGTCAAAGAGGGCTGCTTCTTACATTACAGTTTCTCTAACCCTGAGTCTTCTGGAGTATAGCCATGTAAAGCTCTTGCTTAGCTGCATGCTATGATCTGGATTCTGTGGAGGGCTGAAAATTGTGCCTTGGGATGGGACAAGCAGCTGAACATCTGATCAACATCTGATTCCTCCAATCCTAAATACTATGAGTTGGAACCCAAAAAGTTCCTTCTTTTAAGTGAGTCTATTTCCAACTGAGGAAGGCTTTATGATTTTAAATTCTGATTCTGTATAAGTTAATGGAAGTCACAACTGTATTAAAGGAACTAAGGGACATAGTAAAGGGAAACATAATTTTTTTCATATTTGCTTTACCATCATAATTTTGCTACCATTAGTCTTTTCCCCCTTCAGATTCACTGTTGAAATTGACCAATAAATAACAACCCTTTGATAACCATGTTTTGACTTTTCTTTTTCTGTACAGGGCCGGCTGCCTGTAAAGTGGATGGCACCAGAAGCCCTATTTGACCGAGTTTACACACATCAAAGTGATGTGTAAGTAACTTTAATCTTAGAATTTTGCTTTATCTTCCTTAATTAATTTACAGCTACTTCTAGGGAAACTGAATTACATGCAATAGAAAAAATATCCAACAGATTAAAATATGTTTCAGATAACCTTTTCTCTCAACCTTTGATATCTCATGGGAAATTAATGTAGCACAAGCCAGACATCTTTATTTGTACCGGTTAAGAAGCTGAAGCATGTTTCCCTGCATTTCATCCCTTTAACAAAAGTGCAAGGCATTTTATCTTACTGTATTAGACTTCAGAACCAAAGAAAACAATGGATTCTTTCACCTTCACGCATGCATCATAGACTCATTGTGTCAGAAATTAGTGTAGGAAATGCTTACAGTTATGGTTGATTCTA